CACCAGAGGCGCGGCTGCCGTGCCCTGTGGGGTGACAGCCCAGCATAGACATTTTTGGCGCCTGAAGATCGAATGAGTGAGGGGCACAGCTACAGAAACGGTCACCGAACCCTCCACCCTCCGTTATTGAGCACGATTGTCAAAAACGGCTGAAAAGGCTATTAGTTGCACTGCACTCGAAGATGGGGGGCTTTGCGTACCGTGTCGTACTTCCTCGCTATCCAATAGGCGGAGCTCGGTACACCGAACATGAAAGAGCCATCCCCGACGACCGAAACGATCAATTCGTGGCCCTTACCGCCCATATGGGCCCCCACAGCCGCAGCGAGACCCCAGCCCAGCGACGCCCCGCCAGCCGTCAGCTGTCCGCCCGCCACCTCCGCCCGCATGTGCTCCCAAACAAGGGGGTAGTTGGTAATGCCCTCGTTCAGCACCAATGTCCTCTGTAAGCTGCGGGATGGTGTTTGGCGCTCGATGGACCTGCGGAGGACGCCGAGGACGTTGGGGACCGTAGCCCGCCCGCCAGCAGTCCACGCATCCTCCAGGCGATTCAGTGTGCGGATCCACTCGCCGTGCTCGGTCGCGAGCTCGGTCTTGCGCTGTTCGATCAGGCTGTCGTTCTGCTTTGCACCAACGGCGGCCTGCGTGATTGCCTCCAACGCCAGCACCACGTCCGCGTTGCACATCATCTCCGCGTCGATGTGCCACTGGCCGACGGCGGAGATCGTCTTCAGCGGGTCGCCCGAGTCGATGATGAAGACGCGGGCGTCAGGATGCGGCGCCTGGATGCGGGCAGCCAGGGGACGTCCGAGTCCAGGACCAGGATTACGTCGGCTTTCGCGAGACGAGGGGTGTGCGTGCCGCCGTTGAGATACGTGACGCCTAGAAAATATGGATGGGAGAAGGGAACAGCGACGGCAGACGGGCATACGGCCACGATGGGAATACAGAGTGCGCTAGACAAGTCGGCGAGGAGCCGGACTGCTTTGGGGTTGCGTCCGGAATGGGAGGTCACGATCAGAGGAGAGCTGGCTTCTAGCAAGGCGAGAGCGATGGCACTTGCGGCTGTGGATCATTCAAAATGCGGAAAACAAACGAGAAGAGAGTTGGGAACCTGTCAGCGAGAGAGCCGCTGGCTCGATTGGTGGCCATTTTCTGGCATTTACAGTAGACTCCAACGCAGAAGCCGCGACTTCTTCCTCCATGACTTCTCGTCGAGCCCAAAGATATACAGGCCCCTTTGGATAGCTCGTGGCTCTGAAGTCGTCGTCAGTTCTATTCATCATCTCGACAAAAACGCTACACTTGTAGGGCTCGGTGAATAACCTGAGCCGCAACTTTACCGCTTTCGATTTGCGAGGTGAACCGCATGTATTGCCGCACGATCGCAGCCTGGTCAGGAATATCTGACGTTCCGTCCGTCTAATAAACATAATAAAAAATATAGCAGCACCAACCTTGAACGGACATGATCCACTCATTTCTGCCACCTTTCAGCTCTCCCAAGCTGCTAAATGGTGACGCGCCAGCGTAGATCAGGACCGGCACACGGCCTCGATCCACGTTGTGTATTGCGCCGCCATGGCCTGCAGCAATCCCCGTAGGTAATGCGAGGCCTGACGTTATTGAACACGGACCTGAGTGCCGACATCGACGTGAACGATGACCGCTGCTGGTTTTCCGGTCACTTGGGCATAACCCTGAGCAGCAGTCAAAGCAACCATTTCATTGGGACATGTTATGATCTTTGGCGCGGTATTTCCGTCTCCTTCGGAACGCTGGCGCTGGAGATCTTCGAGCAAAGCAGGGTGGTCGGACCCCCAGTTCGCGAATGCATGGGTGATGCCTGCGTCGGCTAACGACTTCAAGAACACGGAGGACGTGGTGAACATGGCTGAGTTGGAGGAGAACACATGATCCTGCACGAAAGATACGCGGCCGTGCAAAGAATTGGGCGAGATAGGTCGAGACTCAGTACTCAGTACTCAGGCCTGGGTTGACAACGCGCTCCATTCGGACAAGTGATCATCTGTGACCACATATCGGGAAATTTCTCCGCCACTGTGCCCACAACCTGCGCAATGTTCGGGACTCACACGACCGCCTGACACTCTTTATTTCCCACCGGCCTTCTTATTTTTTTTTGATATCAACTTATGAACGCGTCCTTAAAAGCGTAAGGCCGCCGCTGTCGCTCTTCCAGCCGCGATGTCGACACAGGACACAGATACCGAAAAAGCTGCAGAGCTCGAGATCGCGAATGGCTTGGAGGCTGCAGATGTATCGAAAAACAGTGTCATTGACCGGAAGCAGAGAGAAGGCTCGTGCGGAAGCTTGATTGGATTTTGCTGCCACTTTTCACATTGATATGTGAGCACAACACCTAGACTCCGAGTCGCTCTACGCGTTAACGGATTCTCAGATTGCACGAATTTCGTGGACAGGTAGGTATATATTGCCGCACACAATTTGCACTCGTCTTGAATCAGGTACTTTCACTAGGACTGCAATTGGAAACGCCAAAATTGCAGGTTCTGTTTTCCTCGTTTTGAACTCTCCAGAAGTATTCACTAAAGCTACGCACTGCTATAGGGATCGAAAAAGATCTTGGCATGGTCGGCTTTGACTATAACATTGCCCTGACAGTGTTCTATGTCTTTGTACGCTTTTCGTGTTGCCCAAAATCAATGGCTGATCTCCCTGAAGTACATTCTCTCTGACATTCCGTCGAACCTTGCCTTGAAACGTTTCGGCTCCATCTGGCTGGCCGCCATGGTCACATGTTTTGGAATCATGTCTATCGCGACGGCTTTTGTTAAATCATACTCTGGGTTAATCGTTACCAGAGTTTTTCTGGGAATGGCAGAAGGCGGGACGCTGGTAAGGCAATTCACCAGAGCAGGTGTAACTCGCTTAAATGAAATTCTAGTCCGGATTGACATACATTGTATCTCGTGTATGTCATCGGTCTTCACTAAACCACGAGCCGTACTTATGATACAAGTACTATCGACGCACAGAGCTTGTCCTACGAATCGGTATCTTCTTCGGGGTGTCCGCTCCCTTGGCTGGTGCATGTAAGTATGCCGTGTGTATTCCAAACCGCGATTCATTGTCTACAGTTGGAGGTCTACTTGCATCTGGGTTGCTACACGTGGGGGATATTGGGACAGTAAAGTCCTGGCGCAAAATATTCCTGATCGAAGGTAAGTGATGGAGGAAGAAAAAGCAGTACATATATTAAATTCATCGTGCTCTGTTTGCAGGCATGATCACCACCGGCACTGGACTTGTCTGTTTCTTCATCCTTCCTACTGATCCACAGCACACCCGTATGCTTAGTGCAGACGAGAAAGCTCTTGCACTTGCTCGTATTGATGCCGACCAGACTATTCGTACTTATGGACGGAAAGAGCCTACGACTTTCAAGCTGATTTGGAGGTCGTTCAACATAAACGTCAGTTTCCCAAACCTGTGGTCGCCTATGTTTACAAGATGTCTTGTTTAGACCACCCTGTGTCTTGTCTGCTACCTGATGGCCAACATCTCGTTCCAGGGACTGAGTCTTTTCATGCCTACTGTGATTGCTACGCGTTTGTTACTCTTTCGTCGTGTTGGTCGGACAAACTGATCAGTCGTTCTGTTAAATAGTTGGTCATTTCAGTACGTCCTTTTCTTAGGATATTTCCGCGCATTGAACAGGAACCTATGTTCAGCTGTCGTCGAATCTCAGCTGAGAACCGTGCCACCCTATCTTGTCGGTGCCGTTTGGGCGGTGGTTACTACGTATATATCGTTCCGCATAAAGCAACGATCAAGCCCCATCTTCGCGTCGGGCTTTCTCATGGTCTTGGGCTATGCGATCGCTGGTTAGTTGAGCCCTTTTTTACACCATGGAGGTGCACTGATTGCCATCTGTTCCTAGTCGGAACGAAAAATTCGCATGCGAGGTTGGGGTATAGCATCAGTTCAAAGTTCTCCAAGCTTATGGGAGTTATAGATATGCCGCTTGTTTCCTGTCGATCGCAGGCGGCAGTCCCATTGGACCCCTCGAACTTGCATGGGGGACAGACAACGCGGCACCGGATACTATACGCGCCGTGACAAGCGCTATAATCCCAGGTCAGTGTGGAAATTCGTGTACAAAGCGACCCAAAGCGTCCCGTGACTCATACGTTTATATTTAAAGGTTTTGGCGCACTGGGCTCCGTCATCGCTGTGGTACGTCTAATAATCGTGCTCAGAACATGTCTAATTGCGCTCCAGTGGACCTATTTGCCGGCCGACGCTCCCAACTATCATAAAGGCAACAGTCTCAATCTCGGGACAACCAGTGCCATTTGTGTGCTTGCCATTTTTGCGGCACTATACATTCGGTGGGAGAACGCCAAGCGTGACAGAGGTGAGAGAGATTACCGTCTCATTGACAAGACTGCGCGAGAGTTGAGGAACTTGGCTATCTCCATCCACGTTTCCGGTACCAGTTGTGATATTCATGTCCTTGGTTTTCTTGCTACCTAAATCTCGCATAATTGGTCAAAAGCCAAAGTATCGGACTCGAGTACGAGCAAAAGGTCAGCCACTACCGTGCTTTTGACATGATCTAGACAATATTGGCGGAATGCAATGAAAATGATGAGTTCTCAGTCTTCTGCTCATCAGCTGCTGATCTGTGGGACAACTGGCAAATTAAAAATTAATTTTAACTGGTCAGAGAAGAAGCCAAGAATCGACTCGAGTATGAGTAAAAGGTCAGCCACCATCATGCGTGCTCATGACATTACCTGTACAATTTGTACCAATGGAATACGTTAAAGGGGAAGAACTCCTACTAAATTCGACCTCAGTCTTCTCTCATTAGTATTTGCTAGTCTGCTGTATTCATTTTCATTCTTGTCTGAGAATGTTCCCTCTGCAGTAGGAGTATTTACAGAGGCATAAGACGAAAAGAATGATGACATTCTGCTTCTAGGGAAGCCAGCAAAAAGGGCAAAAATAACCGACACTGACAGGATTCGAACCTGTGCCCTCAGAGAGGAAGAGATCGCTAATGAGTTCTAATCTCTCACGTTAACCACTCCGTCACAGTGCCTATGACATCATCACACTCTTTACATTCACCACAGCAACAGACTCACTCGACTTCCACGCCACCCTCGCATCTGCATCAGTACATTTGTCTTTGGCATCTTTGGTCTTTGTGACACGTCTTTGGGCATCTTTGTCTTTGGGGCGACATCTTTCGTCTTGGGCACCACATCCTAGAGCATCTTTGTCTTAGAGGTAACATCTTATATCTTAGGCCAGTGTCTTTCCCATAAATTAAATTTCAAAGTTTAGAACTCACATTTCTATGTTTCATTAGGATTCAGCATGCTTTCTATACCTTTTCTACTGGTTTCTGGGTCGCTAGCTAGTACATACCCTCTACCGCGGCCCGAGTCAAAATACTACTTCATGCACCTATGAATTCAAGTCGTTCAAACTCCGCCTGATCCGATCGGGTATATACGGGATGGCGTGATTTGATGGTAACCAAATGGTTCGTCGCTGGTGTTGCCTGCGTTGCTCTCTCTGTCCCCTCAAGACTGTCAGTGTCACCTTCCCTTGCAAGTCCCCTCGCAATCCCTCTGGTGTCTCTCATGTGACTCATATACTGTGCCAGCGGTCTTCTTGGCTGCACGGCTCCTCCCTCTAGAACCAGGCTTGTTCTGTGACTCATGGTGCTGCGTCGCTTTCACGCCGCTTGTGGCAACGTTTCCCCTTCCATTTTCTGTGCTGTGTCGCTCTCCCGTGTCGTCTGTGGCCTCATTTCAGGGGCAATGTTTGCCATTTTGCTGCATGTGGCTTTCCCTCCCATTCTTTGAATCTTTCACTCGCCGTGTTACAGTCGACGCACATTACACAGAGTAAGCTTCCTCCCCCAGTTTACTCATCACTTACCTCCTGATAGATTAATTGAAGACCCCTCTCGCCTGCCTCTACGACCTGACGTCCCCATACCCGCATCCACACCCGCTATGTCCCCTTCCCTCTGCTCCCCTGTTGCGTCTGCCCTTGTTGACAAACATTTATCACACCCCCCGGGCCACACAAACACCAACACGTGGCGCTGCATACCGATTGGGTGTGCGTCTCAAGTTGCCCGCACCGTGTACGATGCCATGGGGGAGTCGTACGCATCCCGGCCAATTCCGCACCATGTGCCCATGGCGTTCAACTGGGGCGACATCTCCACCCAGGACGACGACGGAAAAACCAAGAAGATCTGCTGCGTTACCCTTTTCTGCGCAACATTGACGAGGTGGGATGATGGGTGATGGCAGCAGTTATGCGCTGCAGCAGATGAGTGGGTGGAGAAGAAGTGGGCCATCACGTCGAGTCATGCAACATCTGAAGCTGAGGATCTCGTGGAGGAAGAGGAGGAGGATGTGATCATTGTATCTGATTGATTTAGCATATGCCGTGCAATGGATGCCCCGTTTTGGTCAATTATATGCCCGATTGAGAGTCTTGACGACCATCTTTGACCATCTTACACCAGATTAAGGACATCTTTGATTAAGACCTCAGACGTCTTTTGTGTCTTGAGCAAGACACAGCATCTTTCAAAGAATTCGGGGATAGCTTAGCCCAAGATGTGTGTCTTTCAAAAAAGATGTCTTTCGTGTCTTTCGCGTCTTGGGCAAGACACCAAAGACGCGAAGGACGAAGGTGTAGTTTTACTGATGTGCTAACTAAGTCGTCAGGCATGTCATCAGTCTAGGAATAAGAGAACGAAAGGTGGCACGCTCATGCATGCCCTGATCTTTGCTTCTCGGTGAGTGAGACTCCAGAAGAGGATGCTTCCCCAAAACTGAGTGAGCACAAGTGAATGAACAGGTGTCTTCTATGGAGGCATCTCCCCCGAAAAACAGATATCATAAACATCAAATTAAATATTAGCTAAACGTGAAATAGACTCCTTCATCGATTGTAATTTGTCCATTGTGTCCCCAATGAATAGCAGAAGAATATCTTCAATATTCCACCAGTAAAGCAAGAAGGCCTTTGACAACCAATGCTCTGGCTTCATTACTAGGATCAATGCTGGAAAGCAGCAGATGTGTCGTTCCCCGATGCAGAACCCATGACCGTACATAGCACCCATGCCGCATCCCTCCAAATAGAATTGCAGTGCCATAAACATCTTGTGGGTCAGCGGGGCCCAACTGGACACCATCTTGTAGGAGAATAGAGGGGCATTGGCAAGTACATTTGTGTTAACCACCAAGTGGTGCTCCACAGCGGCGATGACATTCACACCATCAAAGGTCTCTGTCAAAAACATCCAATCACTGACAGCGAGCTGCATCTTCGTCCATGGCAACTTAAACTTGAAGAACTTGTGGCCATTGGAAGCTGTGCCTCGTTTCATCTGACATCCACATGTAACATTGTGAGCTGGTGTAAACGATGTGACCGAATCAATGAGAAGTTCCCCAAGCCTTGCACAACCTCTCCAGGTGGAGTTACTGGCTGCCCAAATGGCAGAATCGAGGGTGTTTGTCAAGTTGAGGTAATCGTGGAGGACATGGGATCGCGAGTTGGGTGGCGGGAGGAAGGTGGGGCTACTTTAGATACACCCTTCTTTGTCTGACATAAAATGTCGCCACCGTACTATGGAGCACCATTCAACTGATGCCATAGCTGCAGACCCGACAGCCAGGACAAAATGGTACCAGTGGCAACCTGGCTGGCACCAGAAGAAGAAATAAAGAAAGATAATAGAGCCTTGCTGGCAGGCATGCACTGTGAGGCTGCACTATGTTTGCCCACCATTGCAAACACATCGGCAAACCCTGGGTCCACTATATAGTACTACAAGTAGTACTGTGTAGTGTCTGTAGTGTCTGTAGTGCTTGTAGTGAGGGGTTTTGACTATGTAGTACTATGTAGTTGGCCCCAGCACCACATAGCACTACAGTAGTACTACCATAGTGTTCCTGTAGTTCCATTGTTGGAGGTCCCAAAAGGAAAAGTGAACATTACCACACTGTGTGAGGCATTTCAATTCATTCAATCTGAACCTGCTTGTATTCTGATGAACTTCAAATTCTTTGTATTACTGGACAATAAGTGATAATGGAATGTAATGTAATTAAATTGCAACTAGTGAGATTCAAACTCACACTATCCTGATGACACACAAAACAAACATGTACATCATAACCAACTAGACTATGTAAGCATAGTAAAACCTCAAACACATGTAGCTAACATAAGGCCAGACCATTGACCAAAGGATGCACGCTTGGGCTGGTGAGCACGTGATTTTGGTGCGTTGAAAGATGAATTCAAAGATGTAAATTGGTAAAAGGGCTGGAGGGTTCTTTGCACAACACAGAGCTTGCTACTACACTAGCACTATGTAGTATTGGGTTACTACATAGTGCTATGTAGTATTTGACTACTACATAGTGCTACAGTAGTACTACAGTAGCACTATGTAGTTTGTGGATTCCTACAGGCACTACAGGCACTACAGGCACTACAGTAAAAATCAGGTTTTGCTGATATATACACATATACACAAGACATCAACACTTAGTCCACCACACCACACCCAAGAACAGTAGCTCACTCCGCAAGGTCCTACACACAAGATTTCAGTCCGCAACCTGTCTGATGAGGTATTACACCATCCGCTGGCTCCAGAGTCACTCTGCCACATTCCACGACCATCTATGAGCAAGTCCGACCAAGAATTACACTGTTCGCTGGCTCCAGAATCACTCCACCACACTCCGTGATCATCTACGACCAAGTCTGACCAAGAATTACATGGTCTGCTGACTTGCAGAGTTGCTCTGCCTGAGCATAAACAAATCAATTACCCAGATCCATTCTCCACTTTGTAACCTATCGACAATATTAGCATTTCAAAGTGCATGGACCCTCTGAACAACCATCCATATCCTTCACATAACCTATTGAAGCATCCGCTTTCTATGTTTAACCATTCGCGGTACCATGGAATGCGATTGGACCCTGTGGACATTATTCTTTCGCTTTCTTTCAAAGTGGACAGTGTCCTTTCCATTAATACTATAAACCTGCTTACAAAGTGAACCCGCATCACGACAGAGGTTTTTAACAGCTCTGCCTGTAGAACAAAATTCACTGCTTATCTTCCAAGAAGGCCCCAGAATTGTATCAACATATCCGGTGAAAGATATGGGTCTTAAAGGGCAACCTAGTGCTTCCTACGCGAGTGGAAACGATTCCACCATGTACCAGTAGTGCGAAACAATATTATTGGGAATTCCGGACCCTATCTGACACACCATAAGTATCATAAACACTAACTAACCAATCTTTAACAGTAACAGGAGATTCTCTGCAAGCTCAAAACTTTAGTCACTTCTCTCAGCTAAAGGCTGTAAAATTCATTCCCTCTAAAGGACGAACACTACTTCACTTGCAAATACTACCCTGCATCCAGTAGAACTGCAATCCCCATCACACTGCTCCCCATTAGCAAATTGGCAGCTATCGCAGCTGGCCCAAAGGAGTTTGTGGCTCACTGGTTTCTGAGTGGGCAACTTCCCTAAGGTACCTCTGAATCTCCTCCTTTGACTTGGCTAAGCCCTCCTCCTCTGTTGCTCACATGTACAACGACCTCAGCAGGCCACACTGCAGAATCTTGATGCAGCTACACACAGGACACATGTGTCTGAACATGTACCTCCATCACTTCAACCTTGCCACCTCTGCACTCTGCAGCTCCTGCCTGGTCCCTGAACTCGTCCCCCACTTCCTCCTTTCATGCCCGATGTACCAGCCCCAGTGTGTCTGCCTCATTTCCTGCCTTGGCTCTGCCGCCTCTTGCTGCGCAAACTCATTTCTGTGAAGGCTGATGCCAAACCAGTCATCAAGTTCGTCTGGGACACAGGTCGCTTCCCCTGCTACTTTGCATGATTCCTTCCCCCTTTCCTTTTCTTATTTTATTACTTCTCAGATATAATCTACATCACATCCACATGTCATTCATGCCAGCTACCTACTATATTCTGACCTTGCATAAAACCTCCTCACATTTGACAAGCGCTC